GCCAGCCTGGGGGGAGCAGGGATGGGGAAGATCCTTGCTTACCCCAACTGCTCTGTGGTGTGGGGGCTCTGCCGTGAGTCCCCATCCCCCACTCACTTTCCCAGTCCCATCGCTAGCTGCTCCACTCAGCCCCAGCATCCTGGCCCTTTAAATAAAAAAAAGCCCTGCACTCACCAGCTGCTGCAGCAGCCATCAGGGCTTCTGGGGGCTTGTGGCAGAACCCCCCCATGCAGTGCGGGGCAATGGGGATTGCCCCCTGCCGCCAGCAGCTGGTGAGTGCAGGGCTTTTTCTTTTTAAAGAGCCAGGATGCTGGGCCTGGGTGGGGCAGCCATTGACAGGGCTGGGAGAGTGGGTGGCGGATGGGGCCTGTTTGATTTGGAGATTTGGCTGACTCAGCGGTGGCCGTATCTCTGATTCAGATTTGGCCGAATTGATTTGGGACAGTGAGTCGAACCACTGAATCAAATCACTGTCTCCTGAATTGGCCAAATCTGAATCCGAAGTGAATACCAGCTGCGTCGCACAAGCCTAGTACTAGTCCCCCTCCTCTCCTCTTTGCTCCTCTCCTCTGCCTGCTTTACCATCTTGTTTCCTGCTGGAGCATCACAGGGCTTCCCTTCCTCCACTTCCATGCCAGACTGCGCCCTACGCTAAATGATAATTGGTAAGCTGTAACTGGTTCTCACTGGGTTTATCAGTTAAACCATTCACATTGTTTAACCATTCACATCCCTAATTGATATGTAAAGATTTGAGCAGTCATCTTCCCATGCAGTTACCTGTCTCCATAGGAGTGCTTTCTTCTTCTTTCTTTTCCTCCATCTTGTTAGCTGCCTGCTCTTCCTCAGCAGCTACATTATTTTGACTGCGCTCTGCTTGCTCAGCTGCTTCTTTTTCCCTCTCTTCCTGCCTCTTGCGGGCCTGCTCTTCAGCTTGGGCAATTTCAGCTGCAATTTTTTCCATGTCCACTTCCACCTTCAAACTGCATAACTAACAATCAAAAGAGCAAAAAACCTTTTTACCATTCTTGCATGTTGCTTTCATTGCTTAGTACATTGGAATCAGAAATATCTTGCCTACTAAAAGATATATTTGAAAAATAAAACACTACCAGGAAATCCTCATCTACAGTTCAGTAGTTCTGCACACACCATACTATTTGTACCATGGTTTGGGCAAGAATGGAAAATGCAGCTAGCAGTTCTGTAACATCAGAGCTCTACCCAGCAAAAACAACATAAAATCCAGCATTACCTTTGATCCTTGGCTACATTCAATGGCTACATGTTGCAGGTTAAAGCACACACTCCAAGAGGTGGCTTCAACCCACCTTTACTCCTCCTCAATCCCAAGACCAGAGTATTGGCCTCCTCAAACATGTTAGAGCAGACTGAAGGCTGCTTGAACTTAATTTGGCTGACAACCCTACTGGGTCATGGCAGGAACATGGAATCATCTACATGCTGAGAAGTCCTCTCACCAAGACTTTTTGTATTCTCTGCTTTCATTAGCATTGGTCCACTGAAACGCATTGCAGAACAGAAGCGTGGTATACTGTATGTTTTCACATACAGCATGCCCCTGTATATAGATAGCATGCGCCTTGATTTTGAAGGGGAGCCAGAAGAAAAAGAATCTTTGGTCAAGGTAGAGGAGTGACAGCAGCTAAGGAGCCAAGCTTGCTGCGAGCCTTGTGCACCCATTGGGCCCATGGACCAAACTGGTACACCAGGCCCAGGGCAGTATGCTGAGTTTGGGACCCTGCACTGGCTCTGGAGCCACAGGCTCAGTGTAACCGCATATGCTGCCTCCAGGACTATGCACCAAGTTTAGGACTATGTGCCACCTCCAGGTCAAACCATGTGGCTCCAGAGGCAGCACACAGTCCTGGGCTTAACACACAGCTCCAAAGACACCCTAAGGGGTCATATCCCGTATGTGGCTCCAGAGCCAGCATGCAGTCCCCAGGCTTGGTGTGCAGCCCTGAAGGTAGCACATGGGGTCAAACCCAGCACGTGCCTCTGAAGCCAGCATGTGGGGTCAGACCTGGCATGCCAGGTCCAGGATCATGTGCTCGGTCTGACCTGATGTGCCAAGTCCAGTAGTATACCAGCCCTACATACCATCATGATCAAGGACAAGGTTGGGGAGGAGAGGGGGAAGAATGGAGGGTGGCTACCCACAGGTCTATAAATTTGGGTCTTGGAGAGGGAAAGGTGGCAGCATTAATTATGATGGCTCCCAGAGCCATGGCAATTAATGCTGCTGCTGCTTTGCCTGCTCCCATGTCCATCCACCAATTTCCACACCCATGGAGATCCCTGTTCCTTGCATATAATGCACACCCCATTTTTTTCCCAGCTGGTTTGGGGGGAAAGTGTGGGATATATGCAAGAAAATATGGTATATAACAGAACTGCACAGAAGCTGCATAAAGGATTCCTTTAGACTGGTGTAATGCGTGGACTTCTAAAATAATAGTTTACAAAGTTGTACCCTTTTCAGCTCATTGTTAAATGATTCTGTGCTTTCCAAGAACTTCCTTTTTTTTTCCTGGTGACGCTCTTCTATTTGCAGGAGCTCAGCTTCCAGTTTCCTCTGGAAATAAAAGTAACTAGGTTATAAAACTTAGTATTCAATACTAGAGAAAAATGCCTAGAAGCAAACTAATAATTTATACCACTGTTTTTAATATAGACACATACATGCACATGAACATCCGTATGCTAAATCTGAATTTTCTTATTGGAAGCTTAGTGGTTAAACTGAAAACGAGGATTTAAAAAAGAACCAACAATTAGAAATACATGGGTTTCTACATTGTTGTAAATATAAGGCACTTTTTTTTTTTTTTTTACAGATGCAAAAGACAACAAACACTTGACCTGAAAAGCTTTGCAGTCTTCGCTAAAGTGGCATGTGCCATATATATATATTTTACTCTAAAAGGAAGAAATTATTTCCTCTGCATTCTTGTCCTTGCCAAATCTCTCCCCATTTTATGCCTTTTATCTATGTACAAGCTACATGTCTCTCTTCCTGCCTTTGTTTTTTTAGTTAGTTAATACACACACACACACATGCACACACCCCAAAGTCCTTCTTTAACAGAGTGTTCAAGGGAAACAAAACTAACAGAAGACTGTAAGTGGAAGTGCCGTGATATTGAAGAAGTTAATCTACAGCTCAATTACAACATTTTGTCTTTAATTGGTATTATGTCACAATTTTACATGAAGCATTAGAATAATAGAAGATTAGACCTCACCCCTTGCCTCTCCCAAAAGCCAGCAAGAGGTTAGACACATGAACATTCAGAGGACTGACAGCCAACAAGTATATTCATGTAGATGATCAGATGATTTGAGACTTGGAGTACAGCCTAAACCCATTATATTTAATCATTTTCAGATAACTCCTCCTTACCTGATGAACCATTAAAGACTGCACTTGACGCTTGAGAACTTGCATTCTAGCTGTAGTGACAACAGAGCGGACATCGGGCACTACACTTTCACTCAGTATTTCGCTGATTAGACGGTGGTTTCTCTGGAAACGGGCTGTTGCTGTGTGTTTCATAGAAAATCCATCATCATAATCTGAAATGAAAATGTTGAATTTGACAAATCAGAAGATCCAAGTACAACACAGAATGAAAAAATAATCTCATCAAACTGTACCCTTAATATACATCACCACCTTCAATTCAATCAGGACCAATACAATTGCTAATGTGCCATCAATAAGTTTATGTCCTAAGAATCAATTCCAAGTAAAATACAGTAAAAGCTGTGTTAACTGGCATTTTACTAACTGGTATACTCTATTAACTGGAATTTCCTACCCATCCTCTTTCAGATATGCAGGGGGCTCTTTCTGCTTTCTCTTTCTGCACAGCCGCTGCACATGTCCCAGAAGGCATGGGGGTGTGTGTGCCCCTGGATCTGTACAGGATAGAGCGGGCTGCTGCTGATAACTAGAATTTTTAGATAACCAGCACCCTCCTTACCCCACTCACGCTGGATAACAAAGCTTTCACTATAATCAGATATAAACGTAGTGTTGAGTTTATATCCAACAACATTTAAAAACAAGATTTCCATGAAAATCAAGTTTGTACCTCAAACCTGAAGTATTTTATTTTTAGAAGAGCTGAGCACCTGTATTTTCTCTGAAGTCAATGGAAGGGACGTATTCTAAATTAATAAAAGTACTAAGTGCATTCACACAAATGGACAATTCTTCAGTAACAGTACCCCAGAGGTAATTAATAAAAAATGTATACCAGATGAAAGATAAATATTAGTTGCTGGTTTCTTACATACTGCTTCAGAAAGGAGAAGAATATATCAGAGAAAGGTTTTGTCTTAAGCCTAAAACAAACTTTTAGGAAGAGGAACAGCCCAAAGAAGGTACGTATGATAGACCAAAGAAATAAATTTCCTGATTAAAATGTCAAGTGGTAAGTTTAGAGAGACAATGTTATTTAAAGGATGGTATTATTAACTACCTGTGAAATTGCTGTATTAACCAGGTATTAATGGAATATACTAGATACTCCATTTTATAATTAGAATAAAGTTTGACAATCTGTACAAGAAGAAACTCTCCAGAATTATGAAACCACTTTTCCCTTTTATGTAGCCAATGGCTTTCAATAGCTCCCAACATATTAGTACCCCAGAGTTGAAAACATTTCAAAGGGTAATGGTCCACCTAACATTCATTTTCTACTCTCACTCTTCCCTGTGTTTCACTGACATCCTTTCCCCTCATTCCTCCCCATAATTAGGTTAGTCAAATGGGTTTGTTAAAACCATTGTGCAGACAAAGAGAAAGAATACTAGTGGCCTTAACATAGTTTAAGACTGTCCATAGAATTGCATTTTAATGCAATTTACTATTATACCTTCAATATACTCCTTTACTTAATTTGAATTAATTGTCCTAAATATCTCTGCTTAGCCAAACCTTAAAGGTGTATGTTTAACTTCACATACTTCATGTAATTATGGAGTAAAGACTGAGATTGTTTCTCCTTCATTCTCAAAACTGGAGGGAAAAGGCCTTCCCAGGGAATAAATTGTGCATGATGTAAGGAAATGTTTTGAAAAGTCCAATTTTGACTGAGACTAGTCAAGAAATGGTTTATTCAGTAAAGGAATATTCCATTTCACGTTTCAAAGTATGAACTATTAAATGAACTGAAAATGGAAACACATCTGTAGAGTAGCAGGAGACTTGCTGTCTTATTTTTTAGATTTTAAGGCCAAAAATGATCATTATAGTTCATTATAGTCCTGCATATACTGTACCATGGAATTTCAACCAGCAGTTCACTGATAGCTCATATCTCATTTTTGAGCTACCACATAAAAACATCTGATCTTGCTTTAAAGATTTCAAATTACAGAATGACATCTCTAAGTAAACCGCAATGGTTAATTATCCGCCTAATATAAGGCTTTTTTATAGCTTGAAGCAATGTGGCTTGTTTCCAGCCCCTGGATCCTGTTGCTTTGTGTCCCAAACTAAAGCATTCAGAACTACAACCCCCCCATTCCCTCCCAAAAAAACAAAAACCAAACAAACAAGCAAAAAACATACCAAAACCCAAAACCAAAAGCCAAGGCTTGCAAAATGGCAATACATTAATTCAATGTGGAACTGCAAATCCCACTTCTTATTTATAGGCATTAATCCAGAATATTGGTAGCCCATTTCAGACCTGACATAAACAGGTACAAATCACTGAAATGGTTTTGGCAGCTGGTTAGACCTGGGCTGAATCTGGCTCAGGGCAGCCAGGTAGAGCATCAGCTTCTGAAACGTAATTACTAAATTTGCTCCATTCCCACAAGCTTAACACAACCGGGACCTCACACAGTGAGAAGTGCTACCTGACATGGGAATTCTCTCAAGGGTGTATCTGAACAAATATGGGTGTAATCATCTAGCTACATTTTCACCCTCAGGTTTCAACAAGCAAGTACTTTATTTGGTCATCTTAAGCCTTTAAAATACATGTTGATTACCTCTATGACTTTTTCTAGTGGGTGGAGTGCAGAAGCTATAGGAATATTTCACCTCTTAGTCAACAAAATCCAACACTTTTCTCATTAACTTGTCAACAGCAAGTGCTACTTATCTTTAGAAACCAGTTAGATTGAGAGAAACAGGGTTTTTTTGAGAGTGAAGTGCAATCCTACTGTGATGGAGTACCCAATAGATCCCATCAGAATTATATGCAACCATTATTAAATGACAAAATTCCTTTCAAATAGGAATCAAGAAATCTTATGAAGTACTTCACAGATTAAAAGAGCAACACCCAGTTGCTTAATTTGAAACAGTAAATGAGTATTTCTCATGAGGCCAGGAGGATATTGATGAAATGTTTTCTTATCAAGAGAATAAAATAGCTACCTGACCCTTGCTCTAGACAGGGCTGTGAAAATTTACTCTGCCCCCCAGGCCAGATCTTCAGTTCTGAACCATGGCACTTGTGGGCTCGATCTGGAGATGGTGGCAGGACAGGCAACAGCTTCATGGGGTTAATAAAGCTATTACTCATCCTTCTGCTGCTGTATATTGTCAAATGGGCTTGCCCCATTTGGCAGAGGGCTCTGTCCCTGTTTTCACCATCCCTGAATGCTTGGCCCCTTTACAAAGCACAACTCCACAGGCCGTAAGTTTGACAATCCTATTTTAGATTGTATGCCATTAGGAGGAGAATATGCCTCACTGAAGGTGTATACAAATCTTCCTGCTTACCATCTGGATCTTCTGCTGGCTGTATGCTCATGTAAGGTTCACCTTTCTCCATACGTGACTGCCTTTGTCGGCTTTCTTCCTCTAATGCAGCCTCAGCACGACTTTTTGCATTGATGTAGGCGAGGTAAGCAGGTGAGTTATGGTAAGCCTTCATAGATTCATTGTATTCTATCTGAAATTTGACAGATATTGTTTTATTGTACTTAAGAAACACTATGTCTCAACAATCCTACTTTGCAATATTTGGCCCATGTTTATAAGCAAAAGGACTATTTGGTATAAATGACTCGTCTTTCCTTCCACTTTCCATTTCTCTTTCAGGTATGTGCACAAATTCCTCACATTACTCTTGTTTTATGATGCTCTAATGTGACCAACTGGAGAGCACCTAAACAAGTTCCAAGAAGAGGTTACTTCTGGGTCATCTCATGCTATCTTCACTTGAGTCCTTACTGATACAGTAAAAATTTAATGTTTGATTGCTACATCCTTTTTTTCTATAATTATCTAGAGTCAACCTACATTTCTGATTCAATCACTTTTAATTTCTCTATGTGACAAGAAATTCTGTGTTTGCCTTGCTCCTCATCTCCTCACCTTTCTGGCTCCAATGCTTCTCAGCACTTGCTTTTTACTATACAAACAATCATCATTTTAGTCACTTCTGACTTTTTTTTAAAGTGGCAATTCTCACTTTCCTTTTTTTGTTGAGTTCTTCAACCCTTACCTAACTTGGAGCGATCCACAATGTTGCAGCCATATCAATCTCTCGCTTCCTGTAGCAGGATTGTGTCACTTTCTACACATTTGTTAATTTACTTTCCCTTTCAGCTCATTTCTTTAACATGTCTATTTTGATTTCAAAAAATGTTTTGAGTTACTCTATAATGGTATATGAAACTCTTTGTATACCCAGAGGTGTCCTTATCATTTTTATTCATGTCAGATGACAAGGATCCCATTGCGCTACGTGCTGTACAAACACAGAACAAAAAAATGGTCCCTGCCCGAAAGAGCTTACAATCTAAGTGTTGAATTAGTCCTTTATATGAAGATAAAAATTACATAGAAATCCTGGACTTTCTTTTAAATGACAGAATAAACTCTTAAAAACTTACCTGCTATGATGATAGGTAACAAAAAACTAATGATACTTCATTTTCCCATCAAAAATGAGATTGTCAGTGTCGAATTATGCAAAATATACCATGAAAGCCAACTCCTAAGTGACTGAACAGCAGTACTTACAGAGCACCAGTTTTGAAAGAGGATTTGTGTGTTAAGATATTCTTTTTCAACACTGATGTTGTACAGTCAAATCCATTCATTAATCAGTTAAAATTCCCATTCAAATATACACATTTCATTTTGAATTGGGTCTATATCTGGCCAGTCACTGTTGATGCCCAATTATTAAAAATCTAAGAGGTGGATGAGGATATATTTCCATCTGAGGTATATACATATGGTTTCATGAGTGGCACATACAAGCCATGACACAGGAAAGATGAATTTTCTTCTCAGACCAGTTCCTAGAAGAATCACCGGTAATTAACATCCCAGATTTCTTCCATTTACCTTTTCTGCTTCATATTCATTCAAATACTCTTGCTTCTCTTCATCAGTGAGGTCTCGCCACATCCCTCCAATAATCTTGCCAATTTCCCATAACTTCAAATCAGGGTTGGACGCCTTCACTTGGTCCCAGACCTTAACAGAAACAGCTGGAGCTTTACTACTGATATCTAAAGACTTCCATATTAAACATTTTATATTGTCATCTTAGTGTTCTTTCAGGAAACAGCACTACAAAACAAGGCTACATTAAGAACAAGTCTCACTAAACTCGGCTGATTATTTTCTGGGGCAGGAAGATAGTAGTGAAGTCATGTACTGAAAAAGGCAACTGCCTGATTTATTCATAATGGCTTCGGTTTCATCAGAATCTTGCTTTTAACCCTGTTATTTCTCTTCTTAAATGCACATCACTGCATCTCTGGAAAAAAAATTAAATATGCTACTGCATAAACACGTCCAGCAGTATGTGTGTTCAGATATGACAAAAAGTACTGAACTGTTCAGATCAGAATTTGGACCTTAGTGTATTCAGCAAATATTCCAAATCTTTTCAGTCTTGCTGATCAATTTGAGTTCCAACAAGTTCTGATTCCAACAAGAAGTTTTTAACTTTATAGTGTTATTTCTTGCCAGGAGTGATTAAGAATGCCACTTCATTTTTTTTTTTTTTTTTTTTTTTT